TGCAGACATCGTGGACCTCATCCCCGACCTCCGCACTAGGCACAGGAAAGTGGCCGTCTAGGGCATGAGAGCTGCCAGCCTGGCCACCCAGGAGCAGGTGTGCATGAAAATCAAGGGGGTCCACTGAGACCCCCGACCCTGAGCCCTGAGCTTAGAATGGCCGTACTGGGTCAGAGCAAAGGTCGATCTAGCCCAGTAGCCTGTCTGCCGACAGCGGCCAACCCTAGGGACCTTGGAGGGGATGGACCGAAGACAGTGACCAAGCCATTTGTCTCGTGCCATCCCTCTCCTGCCAACACCAGGGAATGGGTAGGGACACCTCTCCTACCCCCTGGCTAATACCACTCCATGGACCCAACCTCCATGACTTTATCTCACTTCTCTTTAAACTCTGTTCTAGTTCTAGCCTTCACAGCCTTCTGCAGCAAGGAGTTCCACAGGTTGACTCTTTGCTTTGTGAAGAACAACTTTCTGTTACTAGTTTGAAGCCTGCTACCCATTCCTTTCCTTTGGTGTCCAACTCATTAGTTGGAATTAACTGTTAATCCTCGTCGAATGAAGAGTAACAGTTAATTCAAACTAACGAATTAGTTTGAATTAACGTTTAACTGCCGCGTCTAGCCGTGGGCTTCAGAATGAGTCAGCAGGGGGGGGGAGAAGAGAAGGGGGTACTTCAAAACAGCAGCGCCGCCTGGAGCCCAGGATCAGCTGGGGACTCCCCCGCTGACCCCGGGCTCCGTGTGGTGCTGCCACTTTGAAACGCCGTGTGGAGCCTTACGCTGGGCTCCCTGAGATGTTTCAAAGTGGCAGTGCTGCATGGAGCCCTGAGTCAGTGGGGAAATACCCAGCTGATCCTGGGCTCCATGAGGCGCTTTCTCCTTTGAAGTGTAGCAACAGCCCAGGAGTCCTATCGACTAATCGAATAGTCAATGCAAAATATTGAATATTCAATTAGTCAATTACTCAAAATGTAACATCCCTAGTCAGGGTGGTTAAACACTGGAATAAATTGCCTAGGCTGGTTGTGGAATCTGGAGATATTTAAAGAACAGGTTAGACAGGCATTTCTCAGGGAAGAGCTAGACAGGGCTTGGTCCTCAGGGGGCTGGACTTGATGATCTCTCAAGGTCCCTTCCAGTTCTATGATTCTGTGAGGGCCTCTGTGGATGTGAGGAGACACTTCTCTTTCACCCTCCTTTTTGGATGCCCCCTTAGCATTCTGGTTTTTACAATGATTGATCCGCCATTTGGGCCTGGAGAGTTGACCACTTGCCCAGCTCCATGTCTGTGACTCCCCACTGTCACCACACAAGTCCTCCCTCCCCCTTCCCAGGCCCAGAGGATGCACCTGGACAGGCTGACAGCCCCACAGAGGAGGAGGAGGAGGAGGAAGTGCTGTGGGAGAAGATTGAGAGTGTGCGTCACCAGCTGACCCGCTCCTTGAACCCAGCGAAGCTGACGCCCTACCTGCGCCAGTGCCGTGTGATAGACGAACAGGACGAGGAGGAGGTGCTGAGCTCATGCAGGTTCCCGTGCAAGAGCAACCGCACAGGTGCGAGACACTAGGGTGTGGATGTGGTACCCTCCTTGGTCCAGGGCAGGCCCCACTTGGGAGAGACCCACCCTCAGCGTTCCTCTTCCTCCTCATTCCTTACAGTGACTCCTACCTGCGCCAGTGCCGTGTGATAGACGAACAGGACGAGGAGGAGGTGCTGAGCTCATGCAGGTTCCCGTGCAAGAGCAACCGCACAGGTGCGAGACACTAGGGTGTGGATGTGGTACCCTCCTTGGTCCAGGGCAGGCCCCACTTGGGAGAGACCCACCCTCAGCGTTCCTCTTCCTCCTCATTCCTTACAGTGACTATCCCACCTCAGCTGGAGCTCCCACCCCTACAGCCGGCACTCCCACCCCTACAGCCGGCGCTCCCACCTGGTGCTCTACAGTTAACCTCCCACAGCCAGTGCTCCTGCTCCATTCCCTCAAACCGGC